CATGCTGTCCCAAGTCACCCACATTTACGGTAAAGGAAGATCACCGATATGATCTGACATAGATCTCCTAAAGCGACATTTCTTTATTTCTTAGAAACCTTTGCACCTTATTAATACTAATAAAAACGTGATCTGTTTAACTAATTAAAGAAGTACAAACTCATAATTAATATATTTGTGGCTTGTGTTTCTTTGTTTCTATATAAAATCAACTAAAATTCTACAAATGCGAAAATAAAATTCTTATGATTTTTTTGCAAATTGCGTTTAAATAATAGTGATTATATTATTTATTACATCGTTTATATATATATATTTGTATTATTAATACATACAATATATTTCCTATATATATACGTATATATTTCCTAAATCGTTTTCTAAGTTTGATTTCTATTTCCTCTTTTTTATTTTTTTCATAATACGATTTTAAATATAAAATCAGGGTGCAGCGTAAACCAGCACACCCGTAAAACCGACCGTAAACTAATTTAATCTTCATAGCGTTACGTTATAGGCAGTATTCCAAAATTGACTGCAATTACTAAAAAGGACCCCTCAGAATCCTTATGGGAAATGGCTTTCGGTTAATTTTTTTAAAAATTTGATATGTTGTAGTTCTCAACACGTAGAACAAAAGTGTCCATGGCCCCAAGGTCCGATCACGGGTAGTTTTCGAAATACAGCTCTCTAAAGTTGGACTTTTCGTACCTTATTGCAGCGTAGTGCGGATGCAGTCGATGTCGATGTACGATGATGCTTACGATTAAAGTGGGTGTACAGGTGCTTGCTTTCACTGGAGGGTGATGACAGTGAAGTGAATGGGAACTTTTTTTAAGCAAACTACCAATAACAGATTTTTCTATTGGAATAATGAATCAATCTACATTCACCAGCGGATTATATTTACCAGAAGAAGTTATTCATACTTGAAGGGATATTACCTAAAAGTGACGTATGATATGGAGAAAAAAAAATGTTTCTTTTCTCAAGAAAAATATCTTGACTATGAGTAGAAGGGATGAACAATTGACAGTATAACAATGTATTAATATTGTAATAAGAAATCGCGGGTATATAAACTCGTAAGTATATGTTTTTAAGCCGATGTTATCAAGACCCTAAGTCGTCTACAGAAGATTCCGAGTCTCAACCTCAAAAAACTCATGTTCGACCGTTAAACGCCGTACCGTCGTAGCGGTGAGATTCCGACCAAGAGCTGATCAAAGGAACATCAAATACCTTAACATGTCATGACATTGGATGCCGCAGACCGAGAACATTCAGATGATCATTGAATGGCTGCGTTCAGCAGAACGTTTGTTTTGCAACTGTTGGAAATTTCCTTCGCGCTAATTGGATCATACTTTTAGATCTAGAAGAATGGTCCTATCTCAGCAGACAATCATAAAACGGTTGCAAAACTGTTGAGTCTGCTGAACGCAGCCAATGTTGAGATTACGATAAATAATGCGCGCACGCGCGCACACGCACGCACGCACGCGCACACAACAAACAAACAAGCAAGCACCTGTACACCCACCCTTTAATCGTAAGTATCATCGCACATCGACATCGACTGCATCCGCACTACGCTGCAATAAGGTACGAAAAGTCCAACTTTGGAGAGCTGTATCTCGAAAACTATCCATGATTGGACCTTGGGACCATGGACACTTTTGTTCTACGTGTTGAGAACTACAATATATCAAATTTTTAAAAAAATTAACCGAAAGCCATTTCCCATAAGGATTCTGCGGGCTCCTTTATAGTGCATGTAACGTATTAAACTATGTGTAGATTTTTATCGCTGACAGTATAAATTTGCAATATAGCTATAGTGCCAGATAGTCGTATTGGAGCTGAAATCAACTGTGTATTTATTGAAAAACTTTCAAAAAAAAAATTATGCGTTACGCATTGACATACAGAATGAACCGATGGCGATGGTGGGGGTAGAAACACGAGTAGAGTGAGAGACAGATAAATGGATGAACGTTCTTTCTCTGTTTACTAACCCTGATTGGTTGTTATTGATCCAGCAGTACTTTTTCAACCAATCAGGCTTAGTAAACAGAGAAAGAACGTTCATCCATTTATCTGTCTGTCGATGGCGTTACGCGTTTGTATTTTGCAGAACAGCATAAAGTATGTAAATTAACAAAAAATATTTTATATCGAAAAAAATGAAAAGATTCTAAAAAATCTTACATACAATTCACTTGTAAGTGCTTTGTACAGATAACTTCTGTGAAAGAAAAAGAATAAAAATATATAGCCTATTTATTACTATATTATTGTCTTCTCTGTCATATTTGGGACCTATTTTGTCAGACGCTCATTTTTGTTTATCTTAACAAAAAGATTAATTTTTGCAAAATTTCAAGCAATATTGTAAAAAACTGCTATTATTAGATATTATTTGATAGAAGATACTCTCTAGTTCATATTTATGTTTCTAAAGCTTTACTTTTTTTTTAGTTTTTGTTTAAGAAATATTGTTCAAAAACAAAGTCGGTATCGGCGATGACTTTTTTCTCTTAAAGTGTACATAACTAATATTCAATTATAATATTATATATACCAAAAAAATAATTGATGATTTTGATCAAAGTAATTTGCCCGAGAGAATAAGAAATACGTACCTCGAAAGACTTTTTCTCGAGAGACCAGTAACATCTGATCCGTGATCTGACAAAGGAGCTTCGACAATAAGCTCAGTAGTACTGGACGCAAATCCTGCAGCATTTTTCGCAACACAGGTAAAAGTGCCGGCATCTTCGGGAAAGACTTCCCTGATTATCAAGGTAGCGACGTTATCCTCGTCATAATATATTTGAAAATCAGTAGATGGTTTGATAATAGCGGTCTGGCGGAACCAAGTTATTTGTGGTCTTGGTATGCCTTCTACTTGACATTCGAATTGCACGGTGTAACCATCTAATGTATGAATTGGTTGTAATTTTTCAATAAATCTTGGTGCTGAAGCATTTTCTCCGGGGACAGGCTCTGAAAAGGTTAAATATATAATATGAATATTTTAAAAGTTTATATCAAATTTCAAATCGCAAGTGCATATTATGAAAGTAATTCGGTGTGATTAATAAACTTTATCGCATTGTTTTATCAAATTTATCAATTTCGTAAATAAATTACTTACTCTCAAAGATTGGCAATTTGTCAATCTTTTCATGCAATTTTCGTTGCAAGTAAACAGTGTAACGTACTTCATCCAATAAATATTGCGCCGGTACCCAACCTTTTTCTTCGGTCAAATGTTTCTTTACAAACCACCAATCCTGATTAGTATAATCTGTGGAAAGTAAATATTAATTAGAGATGTTCTATCAATTGTGTACATGTATAATGTATATGTATATATCATATGTAGTACAGGGTGTTTCATTTTAATTGATACACTAATATATCTCGAGAATAAGACGTGAGATTGAGAAAAGTTTCAGACAAAAGTTATGTGACATTGAAAGGGATATGAGATGATATCATTGATTTGATCTTGAGTGGCGTTGCCAAGATCAAAGCAAGGTCACTTTGAATTTTTTAAGTGGAACTTCCCATTTTTCATTACATATTCTTATGGCTTACCTCGAGAGCTTTTCAAAAAGTTATAATAAAATATTTTTTTGTAAAGCACTTTTCGAGTTATAAAGCTTGAAAGTTACTGATTGTCGGTATTAGCATTACTCAAGGTGTTTAATCAACAGCTAAAACTTTTCAAATGGACACTTTTAATAATGCTAATGCCAGCGGTATTGCAACTTTCTTTGTAACTTTAACCTTATAACTCGCAAAGTACTTTACAAGAAAATATTTTATTAGAATGTTTTAAAAAGCTCTCGAGATAAGATACATAATAAATATGTTATGAAAAATAGAGGTTTTTTCTTTTCAAAAAATTCAAAGTGACCTTTCCTTGATCTTGATAACGCCATCCATGGTCAAACCAATGATACCATCTTATGTCCCCCTCGATGTCCCTGGTAAAAAAATTTCGCTAAAATTATTTCACGTTTTAGAACATTTTAGTGAAATTGCTGAAAATTTCCTAAAATTTCACTGGAAGTGATTTTTTTAGCTAACATACTGAAAAATCGTTGAATTGAAATTCCTTTGAAATTTTTCTGAAATTTTGCTGAAATTTCTTTGAAATTTTGTTAAAAATGAATTTTTCAGCTAAAAATCGTTGAAATTAAACTGAAATTTTGTTGAAATGCTGAAATTTTGCTGAAAAGTGTTCCAAAATGTGGAATAATTTCAAGGAAATTTTTCCACCAGGAGTTACATAACTTTAGATTGAAATTCTTTCCAATCCTAAGTCTCATTCTCGATATATTAGTGTATTAAGTAAAATGGAACATCTCGTATATACAGGGTGTTTCCAAATTAAATGGCAAAACTTCGGGAGCGTGTAGAGGAGTAAAAAACTAAGAAAAAAGTCCTATAGACATATGCTCGTTTTTGCTCCGTTTCAGAGAAATCGAAAAAAAATGTTT